ATAAATCTTGAAGCAACAACATAAAACTTGAAGCAACAACATAAATCTTGAAGCAACAACATAAATCTTGAAGCATTATAGGAACAACAACACATGGAACGACATGGGACAACAATGAATCTTGAAGCATTATAGGAACCTCTATGCACATTATAAATGAGATCTTTATTTAGGTCAAATACATAATAACCGTGTAAATCAAAGAATTACAAGAAATAAAGATTCTTTAAAGCAATTGAAAATAAGTTACCGCTGTGTCAAGCATGATCGGTAAGAACCAGATCACCTATATTATTTAAACGCAATATTAATAGACATTAAGTTATTGGTAGTGTCAGAGCTGGGTGTCACTTGGACTTTGCTGTTGTTTTTCTGATCACATCTCAAGTTGGATGGGGCCTACTTACCTAATTAAACCTAAAAAGACACCAGATATACACACTATTGACTCATTACCTACAAACTTGAGCACAGTGCTTGAAGCTCTGCTTCATTCAAAAGCTTAAGCTGAGAATCTTGGTCTCTCAGAAACTGACATTTTAATGGATCAAGCTATATATTTTTATTTTTTCAACTTGTTTATTCTTAGCTGTTATTGGTAAAAGGTTTAGTGATGCAGGATAACAAGACTGGATAACTGAAGATATATCTGATTAGTGACTTCTTAATTTTTTACTTAAAATTTCGTGACATTGTATTACGTAGAAAATATAGGAGCTGATTATTTTTTACCAAATAATAGAAAAGTGCTAAATGCATTTTTTTACTGAGACAGTCTGAAGAGTACAAACCTTATATTATTTACATGCAAAAATAAAAATGTACAATTTTTCCATAATCTTAGTGACAACTTCAAGCCCAACTAACCTGTTGAAATCTGCTCATAAGTTATTGATATTTTTTATTCAGGACAAGGTTACCTAACATTTGACACAAATATTTATTTTTAAATTCACAAATATTTATTTTTAAACCCCATATTTGGGTCTTAAGCATTTTCAAATGGTCCGTAAAGTTTTTCTCATTCAGGACACCAACCTTGAACTACTTAATTAGTTTTTGTAATATCATCTCCACAAACAAATTACACATAGCATCCTGACTAGAGGGATAAAGAGAAAGGGCATGATCAATTTGATCAGAAATTATATCTAAAAGAGAACAGTTTAGGAAGAAGGAGAAAGATAAAAAACAAAGAGAAAGATGAATGAGTGAAGAGGTGCTAAGCAAAATCACATAAAAGAATGGTCAAAGGATTTCAACCTGATTTTATGATAAATAGGTGAATTAATGCAAATCTATATTTATGAACAATTTATGTATGAAATTTGGAAGAAGTAAAATTCTACTTTTTTTTTGTTGTTAATTTACCTCCCCAAGACCACTACAGACAAGGAGGCTACTTAATTGTGGTTATAACCCTCTCTCAACTCTATAACTCCGAAACACGAACCTTGATAAACAAGGCCGCTACGCAGAGAAATAAGTTGATCAACTTACATCAAATCTTCCATCAACAACTGATGGAAGGTTGCTTTGCAGACCACAAAATTTTGTAAAAAATATATGAAAACAGTTAGGTGGTGGGGATGGTTTTTTAATTTTAACATTTTGGGTTACTTTCGGCATGATTTAAGTTTAAAAAGAACTTGACTAGAGAGCATTGCCTTCTAAGCAATGAGCTATATATTTAGTCTCAGTCAATTAATTAACCCTATGCCGTAACATAGGGCTCCTTATGTGGCCTTGACAATGCGTACAAAAAGCATTAACAGGGACACCATTCATGTGCAACAAGCACTGTTAATACACTGATATTTTATAGCTGCTGATGGAATCAGCCTCTCTGAGAGCTACCACAGAGTTCAGGAAACCATACTACCAGCCAGCCTCAAAAACATTAAACTGAGTTTTAGAGCTGTACCCTCATTAGGAGATAACAGAAGTTGCAAAGCCACTATCAAGGAGGTACAAGCAAAAGCCTATGAGTAGAGCCAAGAAAATCTAGCATTCATCATCCTAGGCAGAAAACAAGGTAACGCAGGTTCACATTTATGCCAGCCTAATAAATGAAGAACGGGTTCGAGGATGGTTAGCAGAATTTTTCTGCTTACCCCTACACATATATAATTAATATAAAACTACATTTATATTTATATATATGGGCAATTCCACAGCGGAATATCTCCACCCCTTATCCCTCCTAAACTTTGATAGGAGTTTTTACGTCAAAAATATTTTAAAAGATTTAAATGTAAATACTTTGTAGCATTTTAAAAATTCAACCTAATGAAAAAAGTCAAAAAAACTAAAAGATTTTTTTATTTAAATGATTATTAAGATGATTAAGATTAATAATAAAGTTGTCATACTAAAGTAATTAAGATAAGCAATAATAAAGTTGTCATACTAAAGTAATTAAGATAAGCAATAATAAAGTTGTCATACTAAAGTAATTAAGATAAGCAATAATAAAGTTGTCATACTAAAGTAATTAAGATAAGCAATAATAAAGTTGTCATACTAATTTTTTAAAGTTGCTCTTGTTCATGCGGAAAAAAATTCAATTATTAGATTATTAGAAAAAATTAGATCACTTTTATAAATTTTATGAAAAATCACTCGGGCCACCAGTTTTTTAAAATTGCCTTTGTTAATTCTATTTGAAAAATGAGTTCAATACTTTTGCAATTCTTTTGTTATACAACTCTAAAAAATTTAACTCTTAATAATAGATATAAAAAAATCCACAATAATAATCGCTCAGTAACATAAGTGTTACATCACTTACATTAAGTGTATAAGTTAAATGTATAGTATCTAAAAAACAAGTTTATTTTCCTTAGCCGGTTACATTTGATGAATTTTTAAATATTTTTTTAATTGGTATAGAATTCTCAACATCTTGTGAAAATTTCCAATTAACCCGCTTTACTGATTCGCAGAAATCTGATCTAAAAATTGAAACAATTATTTACCTTGTTTTCTGCGTAACTTAAGTTAAGTGGAGTTTCATTAAACTTTTTAACTTATTTTATTTTTCTTTCTATTCAACTTTCATACACGATATCTTAAAATTTAATTTACAGTTTAAATTGGCAAATATTTGATAAAGTTGTTGTGCGTGTAACATAAATTAAAAATGGAATTGACCATATGCAGGGTGGCCACATAAAATTTTTATAGGAAAAAGAGGATATTAGAAGATTTTAGAGGAGATTTTGCATTAAATTTAAAGGATTTTTTTTGCAAAACTACAAAGTTTTGAATAAAAATAGAGCATTTTAGAGGATTTTATTTTCAAGGTTTAACGCCTGTTTCCACATAACTGGGGTTTGGACAGGGGTCAACAATGTCATTATTTGTTAGATGACATGGATTTGCTAAATTGATTTTTTACAACCCAATTCTCATTTCAGACTTTACGCATTTTGCAAACCATGAATTTTAAACATTATACTACCATCAAGAAATACAAAATAATAAAAAAGAGGAGTTAAAGAGGAGATTTTATGATATTTTTAACTTTTTAGAGGATAATAGAGGATTTTAGAGAAGATTTTTGAAAAAAGAGGACTTTAGAGGATTTTAGAGGAGCTGTGGCCACCCTGATATGTATTTTATATATAATAAATATTATAATAAAACTACATTTAGGAAATGAAAAAATTATATACCCTTGAAAACTATGTTTCTTTGATTTTCAGCACTCAGTTACATACATTACATTTGAAGATTGTCTTCATTAATTATACTTTTAGTGACAATTTTTTTGTTTTACACTATATTAGCTCATAAAAAGTTTCCTTCAAGTTTGTTTTTCAACAAAAAAAAATGCGGAAAAAAATGTTATCTAGTAACTGTTTTTATGTTAAAATGGACTGCTTCAATGAAGTCAAAGTATATGAGCTTGTAGGTTTGTAGTTATTGTTTGAATGTATCTTTCTTTGAACACTTTAGTAAAGTAGATGTTTCTGAAATTTTTTTTTTTTGGCATAAACTTTTTCATTTTTAAACAAAAACTCAAAATTTTGAAATTAAAATATCAACTTAATCTAAATTCAAAAGTCACAAAAACATAAAACATAAAGAAAAAAAAAAATTTGCTGCAACCGCACTTTTGTGCATATAACAATTTTGCATAGAATACACAAAAATTTATTTTTGTGGGTTTTTATATATTCTAGCTTATAATGCTAAAGATTGTTGCCAAAAGTCTTTAAAAATGTTTATACTTCAAAAACGATTTAGTATGTTAATATTTAAATCTTAAGTCTTAAGGAATCTAGGGGTAGAAATAAATATATTTATTAAAAATTCATGTTTATGTACTATAGCGTATATAAATCAGCAAATGGTTACTCATTTTGCTTATCTTTACAGCATACAACTCACAACTTGCTTATCTTTACAGAATACAACTTTCAGAAAAAGAAGAAAAAGAGAATAATGAGAGAAAAGATTGTTGCCCAAGTCCAAACCTTCAGTCAATGTAGCGCTACTTATTTTCAGCAGCAGACTATAACATAGTCAATGTATGTACTGAAGATCTTCTATATACTTTGCTTAAGACACTAGTAATAGGTCTGAGCATCTGAAAAATATCTAAAATACTTCAAAAATTTTGGTGAAAATATATGTAATTTTTTTAGTAAACAATACAAAAGTAGAGCAATTATACTTGAATCATGATTTAGAGTTTCATGCTTTATGTGATCATCAGACATTACAAACAACCATAAAAACAACAAAATTATATACAAAAATACAATACAACATTAGCTTAAATAGCTTTAAAATTGCAGATAATTTGTTTTTGCCACGGCATTTTGCAAATGAGTATGTTTCATAAGCATTCACAAAAAAAAACTATGATAGCTTAAAATAACAAATTTTTACAAAGGAACATAAAGATTAGATAATATAATATTTGCAATACTTATACATTTAATATTTTCGTATTGTAATATCCAAATAATTATAATATTTCATCAACTCACCCTTCCTATTTCTTCCATTAATTGATAACAGTTTACTTGGTCAGCCTTCATAACAAAAATAAATATAATAATAAACTAAAATGGAAACAAAAAATTTATGAATTAAAAGTTAGATTAAAACCTCTAAAACATGTATTGCATTTTCTCGGGTTGGTATTCTTTTCTTTCTTTTGCTAACTTTGAGATTCTCTTTTGAATAACTTCGTTTTGATTCTTGCACTTCTTTACGAGTCAATGGGATTTTACTATCACATAAAAGGTTTGCTGTTCCCACACTAGACTTCATTTGTAAATCTCCATGAGAACAACTAACACGACTTATTGGTTTAACTACATTTGAATCAAAATGATCTTCATTTGATAATTTCAATTCATGATTTATGGCATCTTTTTCAGTATAACAGTTATCTTTCATCTCATTTAAAGGACTGATTGTTGTCCTATAATCATTTAAAACAATTTATTCCATATAATTTATTCTATATATTTTAAAGTAAAAAATAATTTATAATATAAGCAATAATTTAATGCATATAACTTATAACATTGATTAGGGTGGCCTTTAAAACAAAATAAAAAAAAATCTGCTCCCACCCTCTAAATGTGTTCTATATAATACAAAAACACTAGGTTTTTAAAATTAAAAAAAAAATATTTTAAGAGGTTAAGATCATTAAACATCTAGCAGGTCCCTAATATTATTTTAAAAAATCTTCAAATGTTAACCTGGTAATCAAAAGAAGCAAAATTTTTAGCCAAAAAACTCTTTTATGCAATAAAATGTAGATTTTTCAATAATATTAAGGACCATTCGATGTTTACAGGTCTTGAGCAACTCCTTAAAATATTTTTCAAAAAATGTTTAAACCTAGTGTTTTTGTATTATATATAACACATTTAGGGGGTAGGAGCAGATTTTTTTTTTAAATATTGTTTTAAAGGCCACCCTAACATAGATGGCCTTTTATAATAACAGACCCTGACATCATAAAATAAAATTGTGTGACTGAAGACCAATTTTCATATTTTAGCTTTGAAATTTTTGAAAAATAACCTAAAAAAGCACATTGACATTCCCATGAACACCCTTGTTTAATGGTCAAGATTTTGTTTAAATTTATGCTATGCCAAATAATTTATAACATATAATTTATGCAATAGAAATACATTTTAGCATTTATTATATATAGGCACAAACACAAAAAATAAACTAACCAACTATTTGACTTGTTAAATGTCTTTTATATTTTATATATGTATTTTTTGTTATATTTTACATTGACACTATTAATTGCATAAATACATGCATACTTACCAATACTTACCGAAAATTCTTTAAATCTTTTATTTTACCTTTTACAAACTTTTAAAACATATAGCTTTATTAAATTTTTTAACATATAGAGCTTTTCAAAAATATAGCAAAAATATATAGCATATCAAATTTTTAAAATATATAGCATATCAAAAAGCATTAAATAATTTATTAGGCATTAAAAAATCAATTTTGAGAAACAATTAACTATTATATAGATCATTTTTTAATTAAAAAAAAAAACATTTATTACTGATAATGCCATATAAGTTCTGATTTTGTATTAAAAGGAATTATAAGCATTATTACAAGATATAATTTCATTATTTTATTTTATACAATAACATAATAACTTATTTTTTCAAAACTAAATAAGCTTATTGAAATACAAAATCAAATAACAAAAACTATATACAAAAAATAAAACTAGTATAAAACTATCTACATCTGCAATCATTTGGCATCTGTCTCAATATATATATATATATATATATATATATATATATATATATATATATATATTATATATATATATATATATATATATATATATATATATATATATATATATATATATATATACATACATATATATATATATATATGTATACATATATATATATATATATATATATATATATATATATATATATATATATATATATATATATATATATATATATATATATATATATATATATATATATATATATATATATATTACAACAATTCTTTTATTTATTAGTTTATTTTTAAAAATACATATTTGGATATATACATGTTTTTGTTATAAACTTTGCAAATTTTTAAAATTCTTAGCACTAAAGACCTTTCAAAAGTAAAACTTTTCAAAAAAATCATCAGAAGTATTTTTTTTTTTATTGTTGCCTGAATTTAACTTTTTTAAACAGGAAATTAAACTATATACATTTTAACATTTGGTCACTGTTGTAATGAATTTTATTATAAATGAGAAGTATCAATTAAAACAATGTTTTTGGTTGTGAAGATGTTTTTTCATATAAAAACAAACATTACCATAGAATTACTATTATAATGAACTTTTTTATATTCAAATGGGAAGTATCAATTGAAACAATGTTATGGTTGTAGAGATGTTTTTCATATGGTAACAAATTTTTATCATATCTAAAATGAAGGAAGAAAAAAAGATGAAATAAACTACAAGCTGACAAGTGTATATATTATATATAAAGAATAATTGCTAATATAAAACCAGTTTTGCATAATAAAATTCAATAAAGTTATTCTTTTATTTAAATTATAAAGAATGTTCTTTTTATTTATTTTTTTATATGCTGTATATAAATTTTATAGCTAAATATGGAGACAAGGTTATATATGAAAAGTGCTATATATGAAGACAAGGTTATATATGAACAATGCTGTGTATGAAGGCAAGGTTATATATAAAGACAAGGTTATATATAAAGACAAGGTTATATATGAAGAACGCTATACATGAAGACTTTTGAATGTCCAAACGACTTCTTTTTGGGACCATGTTGAAAAGTTGCTGCTTGATTAAACATCCTACTAACTTATTATGCAATTTGTAAGCTTGTGTTACTGATACAAAACTTTTTACTAATATCATTTTATTTTTATTGTTTTTTTAAACAAGTTTTTGCTGACATTAAAGCTAAAAATACTTAACTACTTTACTCACAAATAATTCTAAATATACATCCATTTCTTAGTTATACATGTAAAAGATATTAAATACCAAATCAAAATTAAATATTTAATACAAAAAAAATTTGACGATTTAATTTTATGCGAGGTTATATATGAAGAATGCTATATTTGATGCGAGGTTGTATATGAAGAATGCTATATTTGATGCGAGGTTATATATGAAGAATGCTATATTTGATGTGAGGTTATATATGAAGAATGCTATATTTGATGTGAGGTTATATATGAAGAATGCTATATTTGATGTGAGGTTATATATGAAGAATGCTATATTTGATGCGAGGTTGTATATGAAGAATGCTATATTTGATGCGAGGTTATATATGAAGATATATTTGAAGATTTAATTAGGATTAAATTAACAGTTTACTTAAACTAACAATTATTTTAAAAGTTTTGACATTTGAAGAAAAGGAGGGGCAAATAACAACTTTTTTTTAAGTATCATTTAAAGAAGAGGAGGGACAGTTATATTTAGAAGTGCAATGTAATGAAGCATATACAAATTATCTTTTTTATATATGAAATTTTATTTTTGTTATTCATATGTATTTTGTATATGAGCTTTTTTGTTTTGAATATTTAGAGAAAAAAGGAAATCCTCCTAAATATTTATTAAGTGCTTTAATGTATTAGTTTTATATGAAGTATACAAATATAAATTGATAAATTTTTTACTTTTGTTAGCTTTTTATTTAAAAATGAGCCTTTTTATCTTCTTTTAAAATCAGACCTTAAATGACAAATCCATATATAGAGAAAGGTTGGTCATTAAATTATATTTGATTATATATGTTATAATTGATTCAAATAACATTTTAAACTATGACTATTTTTTTGAAAAAGCTACTTGCATAATTAATGCATACTTGCATAATAAATGGATACTTGAATAATTAATGCATACTCAAATAATTGCTGCAAAGTTAAATAATTATGAAAAGTTCTAAAATTATTAAATAAAGTAATCACAAACATAGCTTTAAGATCTTAAACTTTATTGATCATTTTTTAATTTTTACGTAACTAAAAACTTCAATTTCATAAAACTAAGAATCTCTAAATATATCAATGTCATGTATACTCTTCTTCTAAATATTTATTACCTGTTATATTATTAAATATATCAATGTCATGTATACAAAATTTAAACATATTAACACTGTTTATGTTTTTTTTCTTCATTAAATTAACATCTACTATTATTCAAAACTTCTTTAAATTACAAATTTGTTTAGAATAGTAATTGAATGAAAAGAATGGAATTCTTTGCAAAAAATTCTATAATGGATATGAAAGGTACATATCTATTACAGATCTGGTGCTTATGCCTAGGCAAACTATGAAACATGAGATTAGCTTTTTTTAAAAACAAAAATTACCTTCTTTTGATCATAGCATTGGATGTTTTATGAGATTCAACAGAAACCTGAGAATTTTTCCCACAAGCTAAAACTACAATTATAATTAAGAAATTATTAATTGATTGAATAAATTAATTTAAATAAAATATTAAATATTAATTAATTATAGTAACTAAAAAAATCAATTATTTAATAACATCTAACAATATTAATTAAACAATTTTTAAAACTAAAGTAAATAACTTATTTAGTTAAACACATAGTTTTAAACTAAACTAGATAACTTCTCTGGTATTAAATGAGGAAAGGAGATAATTTGTTTTTGTGTCTACACTTTGAAATTATTTCTCTCTTTGTATTTAAATAGGTTGTTTTTTTTTGTATAACAAATTTGATATCATTCAAACAGATCTCTGTTTGAAACTTTGATGTTGTTACAACCTTTGATGCTGGCTTGTATGGTTTGAATTGTTTAATAATTTCCCATTTAATGAAAGGTATAAAGTTTTTTTTTTCTGATTTCCATACTTCCAATATTTATGAACAGTGAGTACTTGACAATCTTCCTATATTTATGAGTGGTGATGTACTTGACGAGTCATCTATCCTTCATCTTCTAGGATTAACTCTTACTTTCAATCTTTCTTGTAAACCATATATCAAATCCATTAAAAAATTATCATCTGCTAATTTTGTAATGGATTTGATATATGGTTTACAAGAAAGATTGAAAGTAAGAGTTAATCCTAGAAGATTGCCCTTTCTCTTTTAGACGAGGTGCAAAAATGCATTGTAAAATAGTTGGACCTGATCTTGCAGCCAACCTCCAACCATTATCACATTGTCATAATGTTGCTTCTTTTTCTCTTTTCTACAAATACTATAACTGCTCTAAAAAGCTAGCACCTCGTGTGCCTTCTACTAAAACTCATTATCATATTACTTGTCATTTAATTAAGTCTCATCGTTTTTCTGTGACTATTCCTAAGTGCCCCAAAAACTCTTATTCATCTAGCTTTTTTCCTTTAAGTTCTTTTAAGTTGTCTTTTCTCTTCCAGTAACTTGCAACTTTAATAGTGGTTGCTTGCAGCCTTGTTGGAAGTGAAGATTTAAAAAAAAAAAAAAAAACTTCCTTTGATGGTTTCCACATCATACATATACCTGATTGTATTGAAAGATTTCAAATGGTTTGCATACCAAAAATTTAGGTGTTTCACTGATAAAATATACTTTTCTTTTGTATTCTAGGTTGTTTGCTTTAGTGATAAGCAATGTTATTCGACAACGGTTAATCATTAGACACTTGGATTTACCAATGCAGTTTTTTTTTTCTTTTTGAAAATCTCCCGTTTTTTAATAATAGAGTTAATAATGGATTTCATGTTCAGCATGCAAAAATGACTGTTTTTTATTAAAAAAAAAAATTAAAATATTAAGTCACTCAACTTAAATTGTTTTTTTACAGATAATTGATGGAAAATTTTGAAGTTATTACAAGTAATTTAGCTTTGCAAAATTATAGAAAAAAAAATTACTATTTTCACAATGTAAAAAATGAAACATGAAAAAAAAAAAAAATTAAAACTTCTAAAAGTTTTGAATAGTGGCTGTATTATTAAAAAATTATATTTTTTGATTTATAAACTGTAATATTTCATTATTTGTAATTAAAATATGTTTATAATATAAGTAATATTATTATTTATTATAGGATATAAGTAAGGATATAAAATAATATTATTATATATAGGATATAAAATATGGATTTTTAGTTTTAGCAAAAAATTGCTAATTGCACCAATGATGAGTAGGGTGTGACTCTGGGTATGGCTTTGTTTTGTCTTTTTTACTTTGAACATTTTTAATCTGTGAATCCCAAGATTATTTAATGTCTGTTGAAAAACATTAACACATGGGTCAAAACACATGGGTAATTCCATGTCAAATGACCCAGGTCACCATCCATCTCAGATTTTGCTGATTTTTATACAGCTGAGAGTGCTTAGTAAAATAAGAATTGTTCGAAAATTTTAGCCTTTGGCTCCAGGAAGATCTTGAAATATGACTGTTTTACTTTTAGGAAATATTGCACAGGCCCCTCTTGTCCCCTTAGAAATGCAACATTTATTTTGAGGTTTCAAGTCACATAACTTAAAAAATACTTTATTTTTTAACTTAAAAATTTGTAACTGGCTATTTTTAGGGGTGAGAAATCCAATGAAATGATCAGAAGTGCGAAAAATTATTCAATATTCATTGATCTTTTAAAAAATTTAAAGAATTTGATCTGCAAGTATATGGATTTCCATATATGAATAACGGGAAACAGTCTCTACTTTTTTGTAGCAGAATATTGCAATTGATTTTTACTACCTTTCAAACTAGCTGAAGCTCTAAAAAATTTTGCATTTGTAGTGCCAATAAATGCGTATGTTAAAACTGTTTTCAGGACACCAAGATATGAGGGGGAAGGGGGACTGGGGCAAGTGTACCACTTTTTTGTTGTGGAACCTTGTGATAGATTTTTCAATAAGTTCAAGACAAACTGGAGCTCTAAAACTTTAAGCATTTGTATAGTCCTGATGAATGTGTGTCATATTTTGTTTCCACGGCAGACAACCAGAGGCTTCATAACCTAGGGTACAGGGGTCATGCTCTACTTATTTTTTTAGAAATTTTTTTTTTTTTAATTTTCAATAATGTGAAGATAACCTTGAAAATATTGTCTTCAAAAAATTTTTTAGTTGGTACTTGTTCCGTTTTATTTAATTATTTACAAAGTAAAATACAAAAATATAAAGTGTCAAAATTGTGTTAATATTTGTTTAGACGTGTCAACTGTCAAATTATACATATGTCTAGTTGTTATTACAGGTGCATCAATGATACAAATTATGTTGGTAATTGGAACCTAACACTCATCTCCTCCAGATGGTCAGAAAAGTTTGTTAAAAAGACCATGCAAGTGCATACATGTTATTATAACATAATGTTCAATATTGTCAATTTCATTTATCATACCAATCCAATGAAACGTATTATATTTACACAGAATAAATGTGCCAAATTCTATAGACATATGTACTTTCTTAAAACATTTTAAGAAAAATCATTGAATACAGAATTTTCCACCAGACAACAATTTAACACACGCACAATAGGACTAAACAAATCCTAGAATTTTCAGAGCTCCAGTTTTTCTGGAAAGTAGTGAAAAATCTCTAATTCTATTATCTACAAAATCTCTATGCTAAAGAAAACTATTTATTACAGTTTAAGACAAGTATTTTTAATAAAATTTAAAAACAAATCTGCTAAAACATTAAATGCTTTAAATCTTATGGTGAAAATGCTCTAGATGTTAGAAATGGTTGAAAAAATGAAATGAAAGAAAATATTGCAAAAAATTTAATATAAAAAAAATTTCAGTATAACTGGTATTAAAGATGAGCAACTCCCAGGACATAAAAAACAGTCTGGAAAGATATGAAAGATTTAATTTAATATTAACAGATCAAACCTTCTGAAACAATTAAGAAAATTACTGAATATGTCAACAAACAACAAATTTGCTTAATGCAAGCTAAAAAAAGAAAATAACCAGAATAAATGAACAGACACAAGTTAATATTTCATTACAACTAGCATCAAACCATAAGTATGATTAAACTATTTACAAGAACTGGAAAGTTCTATCCCTACTGTCATATATCCTAGCCTAAGATGGCTTCTTTGCACTATTTCGGTTGTTCCAGTTCAATCCGCTTATTTCAGTTGATGCATTAGACAAGATTCACTTCTTATAAAAACAATAAAATTAGCTCATTGTCTTATATTACAAAAAAAAAAATTCAGACAAGAAATCTAAAATTATCTTAAAAATGGATGTACAAAAATGGCAACTTTATATGGGTTATACTTTACTTGAAATAATTATTATTATATAGTTATTACCATTCTTTTTTTCATGGCCCTCAAAAAGGTAATTATGATTTGAACAAAATTTTAAATGAATATTCTTTTATTATTTTGAAAACTAAAAAAAAACCTGAGCCCATGCTTTCATGTGGTTATCCTCTTGTTTCTTTTAACTAAAAGTAGAACAATAGTATAATGAAAAAAAAAATTGCAAAAAACTACTTAATAAAAAATGCATATATAAAAAATCATAACCATTAAGTTTTTTATCCATGTATACATGCAAATGGCATCCACCTCCAAGTTACCATTGACACTTTTCTTGAAGATTTTTAATAATTTATAGGTCAGAAATTACTTTTCAGGCAGATTATTAAGCAAAACTTTAATGTTTGTGGTTATTAATTACTGTTGATATATCAAGTACAATATATGTAATACTTATCTGAAAAAAAATTTTCAATTAATCATAAATGTATTAAATTATACATAACTGTTTAAGGTCTAAAGTTAAGAATAAAAACTAAAATATAAGAATTAAAGTTTAATACTAAAGTTTTAAACTAAAACACACACACAATATAAACCAAAATTAGTCATCTGTGAGAGTTGATATACATTTATCAACTTGAGATACCAATAGAAAATATGTATCAATTATATTAATTTGGTATATTTTTTATAAAAATGTAATAAAATCATTACATGCATACACCCGGCCATCCACACACACGCACACAATATCATCCTTTTAATCTTTTTCCAGGCATAAGCATATTTAATATATTAAATATAATTTACTCTATTAGATTATGGTAAAACGATTGTTGTAAAAACTTCAAATTTATAATTATAACTAAATTTTATACTATAATAGAAAAAATTTAGTTATAAAACATTTGAACTTTTTGACATAATTTTTTTAGAGTATCAAAATATTTTTGTATTATGAGAGTCTAAGAAAGTGAAATACATTTAATATATTAATTATATTTCATGTATCATGTAGCCTGTATCATGCCTGATCATAAATATTACGCCAATCAATATTACGCCAGTTTACACATCTAAATATATTTGTTTATACAGAGTAAAAATCACAGCTGAGACTCAGTTGTGACTACACTGCAATTGTATTCGTTGTAAAAATAATATCTATAATTTCTTAATAATTATTGAATATTACACAAATAAGAGTTTTATTTAACTTTTATTTAATTATAATATATTTTTAGCCTTAAAAAATTGTAAACATTTAAAGTTTGTATTCGTTTTGCTGATCTTTACAAATTCAATACTGTGCGGACTTTTTGTGACCAGAGTGCGGAATCACAAACCGTTTGTACTCTTTCGTAGCCAGGCAAAAAAAAATGACTGAAAATTTTTGTTTTATTTGATTTTTCATGCCATATTTTTCGATACAATGTTCTTATATCCGAAAATATTGTTGGCTTAGGAATAGCCACAAATAGTCATTAAGACTAATCCAAAGTAGCGTCCGTTATTGACCAACATTTTTGCGGACCGAAGTACTAACTCAAGCGCTGAGTTGGCGATGGCAGGATTCGAACTCGTATCGTTTAACAGTCTGGGTTTTAACTTTTTGTTTATTGCTCTAACCAACGGAGCTATCTAGCCACATAATAACGAAAATAAAATCAAAAATATGAAAAACAGGTTATTTAGGGAGTGTTTTTTCACATTTCTGATTTTTTTATTTTTAAATATAAGTATTGTCAAGAAACTTAAATTAATTTCACTGATAATGGCAATACAACAGAATTGCAAGCGTTAAATTATTATAGAATCATATAATACAATTCATAAATATCATTGGTGTCAGATATTTAAAAAATTCGATGAGTAAAATTTTTTAAACATCAAATTGACATTTTGCTATTTGTAAAAAAAAAAAAAATCACGTTAAACTGTTCATCTTAGTGAAATACATTGACATAATAACATAAATATCAGAGCCCTAACCACAATTTTGATATTAGGGGGATTTATGGCTCTTTTTAAGGAAGGTAGGGAATGAAATATTTGTTAAAAGTATTTTACATATATGCTTTTCCCTAATAATAATAATTTTAAAAAAAAAAATTGGGGGGGGAGGGCAAGGCTCTCCTGACCCCCCCCTCCCTCCCCTTTCCGGTGGTTACGGTTCTGGATTTTTTGAGATAGCTAACTAACATGGAGCAAACTCAAAACATTTATATTTTTATGTTTATGTCACTTTTTTGAACGCTAAAATATTTTTCTAAAAACTTTATAATTTGTCAATAAATATTAACTTTCTACCACTTGTTTAAAATGTAAATACAAATGTATTTATTCAAAAATGTAATGGAATTTTTAACTACGAGTTATACACTATAATTACACAGATTTTTAATATATTCAGCAAATAAAGAAGCTTAATTATCATTAAAAAATATTTGGAAAACTCTTGCAAATTTCTTACGTTTTGTTGACTGTCCATCACTATGCATTTAAGAGTAATTTGATTAAAAAAATGTTTATAATATAAGACAAATGTGTGCAGTACATCAGAAACAAATAAAAAATTAAATATTAAAATTGATTCCAAAATGAAGAAAGTAATTAAAGTGAAAGCAGTGTTATAATTAACTAACCAAAATTTTACAAGTATTTAAAAATTGGAATCAAAAAAATCACACGATCTATAAACAATAAAAAAATATTTTGGAAAAATTTTTTAAAAAATCTAAAAAGTTGTATTTTTCCAAAAAATTACAAAAACATAGTGGTAGTATTAAAAAAACTTGGGATATTATAAACAAAATTATTGGTAAAATTAAATTAAAATCAGAAACTTTACCCTCCAAAATCGAAGAAAATGGATTTGAGTATACAGATAAAGAAAATTTCCAAAAAATTTAATAAGTTTTTTGTAAATGTTGTTCCAAACCTATCATCACAAATAAATAATTCAAACAAATCATTTAAAAACTATTTTACTGACCATACTAGCTTACATCCAGAAAATGATCTAAAGTTATAGGAATTCAAAGAAGCAAAAAAATCACTAAAAAAAAGCAATGCTTCAGGCATTGATAATAATTCTAGCAATGTAGTAATAAATATATTTATAAAAAATCCTCTTTTTAATATTTTTAACTCATCAATTCGAACAGAAGTTGTTCCAGAAAAATTAAAGATAGCGAAAATTTTACCAATATTTAAAACTGAAGACACGGCATCATTAACCAATTACAATTCTATCTCTTATAATCCTATCCTATATAATCTAGAATATACTCTATAAATATCTAACAGAAAACAAAATTTTAAGTCAATATCAGTATGCTTTTCTGAGGAATCATTCAACAGAACATGCAATCATAGACCTCATGAACAACATCAGCTTATCTTTTGATAAAGGACAGTTTGTAGTGGGAGTCTTTAATGACCTTACAAAAGCTTTTGATTCGGTCAACCATAAAATTCTGATTGAAAAAATGAAAAAATATAGTACAAAAAACAATACTTTTAAATGGTTCACTAGTTATTTAAATAATAGGCAACAATGTGTCATAATCGACAATGTTTCTAATTCAAAGCTATTAAAAATAAAATGTAGTGTTCCACAGGGATCATTTCTTGCCCTCTTGTTGTTCCTTATATACATTAATGACCTTCCTAAAGCCTCTACAAATCTTGATTGCATAATGTTCGCAGATGATATAAACCTGTTTTATTCATCTTCTTCTATCGATGACCTTTTTGGCAAAGTCAACCTAGAGCTTAAACAACTTAAAAATAAGTTATCAATAAACGTACAAAAAACTAAATATATTTTCTTTCCTTTTTAAGTATTGATTTCAACAATATTTAAAGAACCCAAACAATTAAATTTCTTGGAGTGGTTATACACAAAAATGTTTCGTGGATAGCCCAAGTAAACACTTAAATATCTAAAAATCTTGGTTTACTTTTCAAAGCTAAACCATTTTTATCACAAAAAAACTTAAAAATTCTTTACTTTTTGTTTATACATAGTCATCTTTTATACGCTAACATTGCTTGGGGAAGCACACACAAGACAAAATTAATATCTTTATGGACGGCAGAAACATGCTTCTCGAAAAATATATTATATTTATATAATTATATAAAAACAAACATACACATGTAAAACAATAAATAAAAGCGCTAAACATTTATCAAATTAATATCTATACTAATATACTAATTATGCTAAAATATAAAATGGGATTAGTTCCTTCACGATTTACAGAAAACTTCTTTCATTCAATTACCAATAAGTTTAAAACTAGAGCTGTTAACTTTATCGTACCCCGAAAAAAAATAAAAAGCAAACTCAAGTCTCTAATTCTTATCGCAGCTCCTATTTATATAACAAATTAATTCTGAAATATACCTTAATTACTCTTCCTGACAATATACTTTCTTTAAAATCAAAACTTAAAAATCTTGTTCTTAATATAGATAATTACATAGAATTGTTCTGGTTCACATGATAAATAAAAATTTGAACTGAAACAATCTACAACGTGAGAAAAGTCGGATTAATATATATATCTAAAAAACATTGAAAAAAATAAATAAATAATAAAAAAAACACACACACTCAAAACATAATAAAACTAGAAAAAACAAAACAAAATTTTATCACAATAATATTTAAAATATTTGTGCATAAGAATCACAATGTTTTTGTGTATCTTGCGTAATACCCCAAGGTTCTCGATGATAAGACTTACTCAGTCTTCTACGAGTTCCCTATAACAATATAATCTTAACAATTCCTTTATAATATATTCAACTAATGCTTCCTAAATTTAAAATTATTTTATTTTATTATTATTTTTTTTTTTCTCAATTGTTTCTTCTTTTTTAACTCAGTGTTATTTTTTCTGTTAAATGTATTTTATCAGTATTTGGTTAAATATAATCTTTTGTAACGGAAGTATATTTTGCTTATATTACGATGTGAAAAAATTGTGACTAATATGTAGTTGTGAAGATGTAAATAAAAAAAGAAAACTTTTGATTACAACAGTTGTTTCTAATGGTAGCAGGAAAAAATTCCTCGGGAAAAAGTCCCCACGGAAATGACCCCCAGAAAAAAAATCCTCCAGGATATTTTGTTTACAGCGCACAAAATAAATGATATATCAATATAATAGTTGTTTATGATATAAATATTTAATACATACATTATATTAATAGTAAAACGTTGTTCTTCATTTTTCATAAACCGATTGACAAATATGTGGACCACGCAAGGAGTGTACATACATTGACTAGTAGAACATACAGAGAGTGTACAAACACCGACTGACAAATAAGTAGAACATGCAAAGAGTACCGCTACATTGACTGAGGGTTTGATTTGGGTAGGCAATCTAGTTTACTTTTCACATTTTGTGCAAAACAGTTGTAACTTGTAAGTTGTAAAC